TTTCACCATGTTGACCAGGATGGTCTCGATCTCTTGACCTCGTGATCCACCCGCCTCGGCCTCCCAAAGTGCTGGGATTACAGGCTTGAGCCACCGCGCCCGGCTAGGAATTTCTTTCTTACAATTCTAGAGGCTGAGAAGTGCAAGATCATGGCATCAACAGATATGGTGTCTTGTGAGGGTCTGCTTCCTTGTTCACAGATGGACGCTTCTTGCTCCATCCTCACATGGTGGAAGGGGTGAGGGAGCTCCCTTGAGCCTCTTTTATAAGGACACTAGTCCCATTCCTGAGGCAGTGCCCTCAGAAACTTATCATCTACCGAAGATCCCACCACCACGTACTATCATATTGAGGATTGGGGGGGGTGGGGTGGGGAACAGAAACATTCAGCCATAATACCTACGAACATGCAGATGCCTATCCCGTGTAATCCTCACAACCGCCCTATGAAACTAGCTTACACCCTCCTAGATAAGACAATGGTAGCTGGGGAGACAACGTGAATTGCCCAAGGCCATAAAGCTAGCAAATAGTGGAGCAGGAAAAAAGCCTGGGCTCTCCCTAATCTGACGCCTGGAGCTGGGAACCAGAAGCCATTGATAATGAGAGAGACCCAGGGCTAACACTGCTGCCAAAGAAAATGTTGTCTCATAAACTCTGCGTTGACATGCGTCTGGATCCAGGCTTCATTGCAAAGGTATGGGTTTTCTTGCCACTTTCTTTTGTCTCAGCACAAAAGCCGTATGGTATATTTGCTTGTATGTCGTCATAAACAGCAGTTCACCAGAGTCCCTTTCTTTGTTCTCCTATATTCACTGGTGATAGAAGCCAGCACACGTGAAAACATTTCTTTCTTATGGGCTTCTCTAGAAACCCGTTTACTTTTCATCTTTCTTTCACATTCCGAACAGCTTTTCTCTCTTTCTTATTCATCCTTTTTTTTTTTTAATCTATTACCCAACTTCCAGGCATTTAGCTTTCCTCTCACCTGATCTTAACCTATAGGAAACATAATAAAGTCTTTTCTTAAGCAAAAGATGGTAATGTGTTGAGTAGTTTATCATTATAATCCAGGTTAGAAGTTGGAGTCTAATGACACTTTCTCAGTCTAGGTTGGCTGAATTGCTGCAGTTATTTCTCAAAGCCTTGACTAACTCAGATTATAAATCTTAATAGCAAATTATCCTGAACTCATTTTTTTTTTTACTTTGACATTAGTGACTTGAGTGTGGAGAAATAAAGAATTACTGTAAGCGAAAGTGAAGCCCAACAAAGAATTCTGTTGACTGTGTGACCTCATCAAGGAAGTGGCCACACTTTCTTATTTCTTGGCTATTTCTAATTTTTTTTCTTTGTAACAGTGGACCTTGCTGAAGGGAGACCCTAGAAATGTTCAGTTTGCATAAACTGAGCCCAGGACCAAGAGATGATTAATATAGGTAACAACGCTGGGCGCCTGTACTTTCCAATCTGAATTAATTCTGTGTTCTCAGAGGCAAGGCTAAGAGATAAAGACTTGAATAACAGTAAGATTAACCGTTTTCTCAAAGGCAGGACCCATTGTTTGATAATAGTGTAAGCTTCCAATGCTTTGCTCCAACACAAATCTTTGTTCTTGTAGTTTCTTCCACTCTTTCCATCTCATTCTACTCCACCAGGCCAGACCATAATTTGGGTTACTAGTAAAGGCAAGCTAGCATTCCCAACATCCTGTGACAAATCCTAAATTAATGACATTCAGAAGAAGCCTTAACGTCTATAGCAGGCAAAAATATTCCTTCAAACACACACACACACACACACACACACACACACTGACACACATTGAGAGACAGAGAAAGAGAGTGTGTGTGTGTGTCTGTAATCATTGTTTTTAACACTAAAGACAATCTTTCTGCAATCCCTTAGTGGCATGGCCTGGTAAGGAAGACAGTGGCACCCAGTGGACAAATGTTTGATTGTTTGACACAGGTGTTCCATTCTGAAATATTCTCAAGCACATTCTTAGGAAATACCAGTTTCTCCCCTTTCCCTATCCTCTCATCCATTTGTTTTTAATGTCAACTTAAATTTTAAAGGGGACAGAGGAATGTTCTTAAAGTTTTTATCTTTTCAAGGAAAAGACCAGACTCAAACACCGGAGAAAGCAAAAATCTCAGGATTAAATTCTTTGACAACAGTGTTGATTGACTCCTCTCAACAGTAACAGTGAAGACAGCCAAATCTCATCAAATGCTCAAGTTAATTAAAAATATAATGTTGAAAATGCCTGCAATGTGCTTTTACACATTATACTTTCCCTTTCCTCATACCATGGCCAACTTCCAATTCAACTTACTTGGTTATGCAAATTTGGCAGCTTCAAGAACTATACTTTAGTACAATTAATAAACACAGATCCTGCAACTTAATGCTATTGTGCAGTTTATCTTGGAGTCATATAAACACCTATTTTCATTCTCCATGTCTTCCAATTATTCTATTGTCCGTGAGCTACTGGGGTAGAGAGGCTCTGGTTTATATGTCTTTCTCCCCAAAACACCTAACCAGCACCTTACTGATGGTAAGTACAAAGAAGTTAAGTGAAATCCAGTTTCCATTTTATATATTTAATCTGATAAATATTGAAAAAATAAATACATCTAATTGTTTGGTGTTATACAAAGAGATCATTAAACTAAGAATCTTAAATATTAGGGGCTATTTGTGAAACTGCCTTTGCAAAATTATGACAATGAAAGAGATAAGACCTAACTGACTCTATCTTGCTTCTAACCCTAAAGCTGTCCTTGTTCATTCTTGGGCATAGGCCGAACCAACTTTGGGAAGGAATTCAGTTTACAGTTTGACTCTGAAACAAAATTGATAATAGCCCTTTCCCGAAAATACTCCCTTCTTGCCCGGGGTCCAGTCTGCCTTTGCAGAACTACCAAATTAGCTACAAGATTAGAAATTACAATTTAGGGGTCAGGTAGCCTCTGGCTCCAAGAGTTTGAACCTCCCCAGATTGTTCCTGGATTCACTATTGTAAAACCTAAGATCAGTGCTTGACATATTTTGCAGACCCTGCAATGGATGGATCAGCTGACACCACCCAGACCGTAATCTGGCCCAACCAGTTCTGTCATTGCAACCAGGCACAGAAAACATGAAGAAAACCCAACTCCAACCCCCTATGATTCCATCTCCAACCTGACCAACCAGCACTCCCCACTTCCCAGACCCCTTCCTGCCAAATTATCTTTAAAAACTCTGATCCCTGTATGCTCATGCTTGGGGTGACTGATTTGAGTAGTAATAAAACTCCTATGGTTTCTTCCTGCACAGCTGGCTCTGCATGATTTATTCTTTCCCCATTGCTATTCCCCTGTCTTGATAAATCAGTTCTGTCTAGGCAGTAGGCAAGATGAACCCACTGGATGGTTACATTTGCAATGGATAAAAATATTTCCTAAAGAACAAAAGGATTGGGTACTCTTATGAGTGATTTGAATCTTACTGATTCAAACGAGATATTATTAAAAGCCATTTGATCACCAAAAAAACCCCTACGTATCTTCTTACTATAACCTAATCCCAGCAGGGGTGCCCTCCTCTAGTTATCCATTGAAAAATCCTTCCTGATTTGGAGACTCTGAAATTCTTAGTTTTTTTTTTTTTTCATTGAAATGTTATCTCATGTTCATCATTATGTTCTTGGTAATTTTTAATTTTGCCACAGTTCAAGGCTTGTTTTTGTTTGTTTTAGAAAAAAAAAGAAGCAGTTGGCAGGCTAGAGCTATGGCTTGAGGCTGAGATGGAAACTTTTCCAAAAGGGCAACACATTTTTATTAACTGACACAAGTACCCTGTGACCCCTTGCATCAATCGCATTTAGTCAGTAAACAACAAGTAGATACCAAAGTAAGGGATGCATTTTTTTTTTCAGTAAGCTGAAAAAGAAATGAAGGACATTTGTGTGTGTCACTACATTACACATGAATCATACTTCTTTTTCTCATAACACAAGCACCTTTCCTCCTTAGTTTCTGCCAAAATTCTTATAAAATTCTAATGCAATTAGCTCTTACTGTACAAAGAGTCTACATTTATTATTGAAAGTACCTTAAAATTCTTTTTTTTAAAGCATCTAAAATATATTTTTATCTAAACGTATCAATCCAGGAGAAATTTATAAACATTTCTAACATTGCAGGGCCTCCTCTATCTTTTTTCCTCCACTGACTGTTCACGAAGAGAGAGCACTGGGGGACCCGGACTCCAAGTGACTTTGCCCAATGGGGCCAAGCCTCTCTGATTAGGGGAAAAGGCAATAGTAGTTGCACTACTTGCAAAGTATAATCTTATTGGGAAATGTTCCAGCCCTGGCCTGCGCTTTACTGATAACCCACAGCCACTGCCTCTGAAATCACGGACCTGTTGTACATGCAAAGCACCTATATAAGGTGTCCAGGCCAGCTGGTGCAGGCCAGGCTCCACTTATCATCTGCTACTTTGCTTCTGTGAGTTTCAAAAACCAAAGAGGGATGTCAATATTTGAAAAACTCTCTTCCAAGTAAAATTTCCTAAAATAAAAGAAAATTACATCTGCGTGACTCCTATGGGCTTTACCTTTGAGCTTAACTACTGATAATGCAAATATGCTTTGTTTATTCTGGGAAACCACTTAGTTAAAGAAGGTTTGCCTAACTCATGGCCTATGGTGAATGAAAGTCAAATAAAATATAAAGATGAAAAAAGTTTAAAAGCTTGCCATACAGACTAAAGTAAGCACTGTTATGTCTAAAATGAATGGAATGCTGTGTGTGTATGTGTGTATGTGCGCATAACTGCACTGTGTATGCATGTGTGTGTGTGTGTCTCTGTGTGTGTGTGTGTGTGTGTGTGTGTGTGTGTGTGTGTATTAGTAGAGGCAGAGGTTAAAACATGTGTTTGCATTTAGACTTGCCATGCTGAGTACTGAGGAACATTTGTTTCCAGTTCCCATGACAGATATTACCTGTTCAGATAAAGCTTTAGCCTTTTCTTCTGCTGCTTTCAGGCAAATCTCCAAGGACTTAAGTTGGGCCAAGGTAAATGCCATCTGTCCAGTGTCCAGGGACACTTTCTTTAAAAAAAAAAATCAAATATTACTTTTTGACATGGATAGTTTGAGCACATCTCAAACAATCTCATAAACTAAAGATGTGCTTGATAAACTCACAGAAATCCTCCCCTTTTCTTAACACGAAAATAAAACAGCAAAATGTTTTAACAATGGTTTTATCTAACATATAGAGTGTAAAACGTATAAAAAGCAAATGATGACAATGAACAGCTTTAGAAAGTTAGATTAAATAACTGTTGTTGGAATTGGATTACTTTGAAACTTTTATTCTTACTTCAAAAGGTTAGGATTAAAATTTCACATTCCTAATGGAAGACATCACCTAGAATGTCTACGTTTTTAACAGTCGCCTAGCAGTGGGAACAGAGTCAACTGAATTCAGAGAAACTTTGTTTCCTCTGATCTTCACCTGCTTAGCACATCCCATTAAAACAAAGATACCACATGTTTTAGAATCAAATCATTCTTCCCCAGAGCCCGGCTATATCACTCAGATCAGCAGATGTGTAGACTCTGACTCTCAAAATTTTTCCTTTTCTTTTTTTTTCCTAGTAGAGTTTCACTCTTGTCTTCCAGGCCAGAGTGCAAGGGTGTGATCTTGGCTCATTGTAACCTTCACCTCCTGGGTTCAAGTGATTCTCCTGTCTCAGCCTCTGGAGATTACAGGCGTTTGCCACCACACCTGGCTAATTTTTGTATTTTTAGTAGAGACGTGGTTTCACCACATTGGCCAAGCTGATCTTGAACTCCTGACCTCGTGATCTGTCCACCTCAGCGTCCCAAAAGTGCTGGGATTACAGGCATGAGCTACTGCGCCTGGCCTCAAAATGTTTCTAAAGTTACTTTTTCTCAGATACAAGCTGAAGAGTATGCAAAATTGGTATGAAAATATCAGGTACAGGCCCTACTGAGACTAGACACTTCCTAGCTACTCTTTTGCTGTTGTTTATTGTGATAATTAATAATTACAAAGCAATATGAAAAGTTGGAAAGCCTCATATATGCTAGGATGATGACCTTCCTATAGCTTCTCTGGATGTGTGCTGTTTTCTTATGAATACCCCTGCTCCTGCTGCTGCTTCCAATTAGCCCCATAAAGAATGAACTTCGTTCCTACATGCCTTACAGGTCTAACTTCTGCTTCATTTTTTCCCTCTGGTTTATGAGACCACTGATTTTACATGTGTGCATTTCCTGATGATACAATAGAGCCATCTGGTGGCAAATGGAGCCAGGTGTAAAAATACAGCATTCATTCAGCTTCTATAATTGTTTGTACTATATGCCGAACCTCGAGGCTTTGCCACTGGCCTCTGATATAAACAAAATTCTATGGGATGAGGGGCAAAAAAAATATTGCTATGTCACAAACAGCCTGGTTCCACGGTCAAGTTCTGCCACTACGGGTGCATACTCACCCTCAAAAGTTTGCCTTTAGGGAAGGAATATCTCAGGCTGGAATGGTGTTACTAGGAAGTGAACCAATTGTCCTCAGATTCCTGATGGTTCCAGTAATTTAAAAAGTGGGTTCAAAAATTCTCCAAAAAAAAGCCTCTAAACAAAATTCTTGTATATTTACACTTAGAGATGAATACATGCTGTAAGACATTATATGCAGAAATGGGGAATTGCCACAGGCCAAACTATTTTTAAAAGATGGGGAATCCCTGATCTAGACTGCTATTTCCAGGGAAAATTTTCTTGTTGAATGTTTGATCCCAAGGGGAAGTTTTAAAATTTGTGTGAGAGGACTCAGCAAGATCACCTAATCCATTTCTCCAGGACTTCCTTTCCAAACACCCAACATTTCCCCAGCCAAGGAGGACAAACATTTCCATAAGACAAAAGCATTATAAGTCAAAGCCAAATGAAGCAGGTCTAACAGAGGACTGTTATGAAATAACACAGGACTTTCTGTACAAATTTAGGAAACTGTCAGGTGTTTTAGGACAGGGAAGACCTGAGCAAACCGTGGAGATGAAATCGGTCTTCTGCACCCTCACTCCAGCTGCAGTGAGTACTGGCTGCTCTCCGACCTGCCTTTCACCATCCCCCACTCCCTTAAGTGAAAGAGCCTATACAAAAGCAGGCACTTTTTAAGTAGGAGGTAACCCCATTAACAGAACAAAGGCAAAGGGAAATGAAGTCAAAAACAATTTCAGAAATAAGTAAATACATAAAGATGGTGGTTTTGGAAGTGGGTATGTTGTTTCAAAGACTAAAAAAGTTAGAGGTACTCAGTGGTTGTCCGGTGCAATGGCAGAAGGGCAGAAAGACAGGACTTCCATTATTAATTTTATTTTACTTCCTGGTATGTGCGGACACATACAATTTGTGGTAATAATGAAAATGAATATTCTAAGTGGTTAAAGTAGTTGCAAGTGAATTATATTAATCAACAGTCTGTTACATGATGTCAAAATGATGAAAATACAGGCCATATATAGGTGTTTGGGAATTGAACCTGTGTATGGATTTCCAAGTGGTAAATTCCAACCATTTAATAATAATTCCCACTGTTATTTTCTACTTTTTGTCTTAAAATTGTCTACCTAAATATAAGGTTATTATCTAAACACATATACCTAATGTAGCCAAGATGAGCAATCTAAAATGATACTAGTTAACACTAAAAATTCAATAAACTCTTTGATTACAGTAAAGATACCTGGCTATTATTATGCATGGATGTTGAGGTTGATAGTCTACTAATTGAACAAATCTTACATGACATTGTTAGAGCAGACTTCGTTTCGGTTGCAAAGGTTTCTCATTTGGGAATTTAAAGGAAGATTTACATATTATTTTTTAATTGTATATTTCTTGATTTCTTAATCTATTCCAGGACCTTCTCATTACCCCCTACCTTGTTATTAAGTCTTTATTTCTCTGTCCTAAAATGACAGCTATACAAACTCTTTGACCCTTAAGGACTGGCTCAAGGTTTCCGACTGATCCAACTTCATGTGCCGTATCTAGAAAGGTTCCTGTCTGCAGAAGCCAGAAAGGACTTTGCCGAACAGTAAGTAGGAGCCTGATAAATAATTGTTGATTGATTAAAGGCTTGGAAGTCAAGGAAGGTGGTTACACCAGAATGAGCAGTCCTTCATGCTGAGAGGCTATAACAGTGACTTCTTTGAGCTATACTTTTCGTGCATCTGACCTGGGACATTGACAGGGCTCAGAGCCACAGAGAAGTTCTCCTTGCCATGGTCAGGGGCCGGACTGTGCAGATGAGGGCAAGAATGTGGTCACGAGATTAAGTGATGGTAGGGTTGTTGTAAGAATTGAATGATTTGATGGATGAAGTGCTCAATAAATGTTAATAATTCCATTATCCCAATTCCTTTAAAGATAATAATTTGATATTAAGACTCTAGCTTGTTTTAAAACCCTAGTAAAAGAAAATACTTATGGGGACACTTTCGTAACAGCAGTGGGAAATTCAGTCAAGTTTGTAATTAAGAACAGTTAATGTATTAAATACCTGCATGTGCATTTATTTAAGAGCAAGATTTCTAACTAAAAGTGTGGTTATGGCAAATTTCACCTTTGTGGAAGAACATTTTGATACAGGTCAGTTTTAGAGAATTCAATGTCTCTAAAATCTGAGGCTTCTAATATGTCAGAGTTCCAGCAGCAGCTCCTGCTCAGCGGTACAGTAACTTCCTGCCAGATCGACACATTTGCAAATATCCTGTTTGATATATATTCATCACTGCTGTCCGTTCCTCTCTCCTTTGCTTGACAGGCATCTATCACCCTATTCTTCCTTACCCTTCTGCAACCTACTCATTTTCTCATGCAGACTCAAGTCTTTCCCCAGCTGATCATCTTCCCCCCCACCCACCACCCATGTCTCGGCCCCTCACCCTGGGCACATTTATTTCATCTCTCCCCGCTCCCCTTTCATGATCAGAATTCAGGTCACAGTGGTTATTTCATCATTCTCATGTTCTTTTGTGTTTAGCATTTGCAATAGTTTCTTACACTAAATTGCCCATTTCTACTTAGGCAAATATTTAAAAACTTAATTTTCCTGGTTCTAATCCATTCCAGTGAAAATGGCATTCCTCTGTGCTTGGGTTTGCCTTAATAGTCACCTAAGAAGACATTTAAATTTGAAATGTGAACCAACTACAACTAGTTGTTGAAATGCCTATCAATAAGCTGAGCGGAAGGTAGCCCTGGGAGGATGGTGGCCCAGATGAACACCTCCTAAGGAGCACTCTGCTTGTAATCTGGAAGGCCATGGTCTATGTCTTACTTGATTTTAATTGACTGTGTGACTTTGGGCCAGCTACTTCATTTGTCTGCACCTCAACATTCTCATCTTTAAATGAAGAATGTATTGATCAAGGCCAGGAGGAAATAGATGGCCACTCCAATGCAGAAACTGAGGAGAGTTAAACGAGGGACAATTTAGAAGGTGTGAGTAAGATTAAAGGAATCAACAAAGGTTGGTGAGGTATTCCCTGGAAGTACAGGTGCCCTTTGTCTTATCTTGACCTGAAGAGGTAGGGGAAGAGCAAAACTGCTGGGTCTAGAAAGAAAGCTTGCGGAGAGGAACACAGCCACGACCAATGATGTCTAGGCAGTCATGGTGGTTGGGGGGCAGCGGGGAGGGGAAATAAACCAGTGGAGTAAGAAGCCTGACTTTGTCTCCTCTCATCCCTTTCTCCTGTCTGTGTCTTTCTTGAGCTGAGCTCAATAAGCCAGAGGGCAAGAGAACCCTCATAAATGTCCAGAGAGATCAGTGTTCCCTGAAAAGATGACAGTTGGGAAGGGTGGAGAGTGGATAGGGAGGAGGAAACAAAGAAACCTCAGCCCAGATGGGTTTAATTATATTAGTGGTTCCCAAATGCCACCTCATAGATCAGGGTGGTTTGTGATAACACTTATGCCAACCAGCAACAAACGGACAAGGCACACTTTTAAAGAGAACATGTGAATTGCTCATGAAGTCAAATTGATTCTACTTTAAAGACTGCCCTTCACTC